CCAGCCACTTTTCCCCAAGCCTGTAGTGCACCCTTATGAGTGTGCCTTAAATAACTTAATGTAGTCATTGAGCTGTCAGTTTACGTAGGGTTTTCTTACTGTAGCTTCAGTTGAACTGTAGAGGGACTGACATAAAATTTATACTGGGTATCTAACTTGGGTTTTAAACACGTTCTGTTTTAGTGCCGCAAAACTGGATCTCCACTCTACAAACACTACAAAGTATACAAGCGCCCAACCTGTGGTCAGTGCAATGGGAAGATCACTGTGTGTCGTTTAGGAGAGAATAACAGGATGACTTACTTCTGCTCTCGATGTCAAAAGGCAGATCCCCAGCTTGTCAACATTAGGTATGATGGTAACTTTATAACACTTTTAAGCATTGCTGTCCTCAAAGTGCTGTTACAGTAAGAGGACATCACTTCTCAAGTAGAATGGATCCTTATGCATTTTGTATCTAAATTCACTTGACTTTGCAAAAGAAAAATGTTATGGCCGTTGGTATTTAAAAATGCTTAAAAGCTTTGATTCTTTAATACTATTTCTTTCAAAGGCCCCATCTGTTATGATGGGGCTATTACTCTAATCAGATATAGGAATTATAAAACAATTCAGAGTACTCAAAATTATTCAATGCTTCTGGAAAAATTTGCCCTTGTTCTTGGTGTTATCAGCATAATAGGCTTGGATGTTTACACACAACTGAAGGAAGGTAGGAATTTGTGTGTCTCTTTTCATAGGATAACCCCTTCAGTCCTGGAATATCTAAATAGCTGTGCATTTATGCAGTTTTGTTCTGGCATAGAGTTACACTGAGGAAAACTAAAACTTAGGTAAATTCAGAGTGCAGCAAATATTGTAGGGCTTAGGACGTTTTTTTCTTCCTCCTTATTGGATTTGGAAAGCTTTTACTACAGGTGTGCCACAGAGACACTTTCAGTTCCACATAAATTGTGCTAGCAGCAGCTTTCCTCTTTTTATTTTAGAAAAGCACAAAATGCATTTGATATCACAAAGGGTCAAAAGGTAACAGTTCCAAAAGCACCTAAGTTATTCTTGAAAATTTTCAGCTGAGGCTTCAGAATCTTTCCTTTTTATACTGAGCTCTGTCAATCTAATAAAAGATACTGTTTTGCTTTGCAAACTTTGCCTTCATTACTCTGTGTGTATATATATGTATTTTTAGATAAGATTTACAGAACACACAAATCCCTCTCCTACCTCCAACCTTCTTTCAAGATTCAGATGGCTGAAGGGATTTTGGTTAAAGCTTAAAAATCGCCTTTGAGTACAGATCAAATATAGAAAAATCCAGCATGGAAGATAAATATTTCACATCCTGATAACCCCAATCTGCTGTATTTTCAGAAAGTAATAATGAGAAATATTTTACAGAAGGGTAGGAAGGCAGCAGTGTTCCGTTGAGTTAGATAACTAGAAAATGATGCAAGGAAAAAAAAATCTCTTTCTCTCTCTGTTCCAGAACAGTAGTGGTTTGGGGTTTTGTTGGGTGTTTTTTTGTTGGTTTTGGGTTTTTTGTTTTGTTTTTGGTTTGTGTTTTGTTTTTTTTTTAAACAAAGAATTAAACAGTGGTATATTCCAGTGAAAAACATGGTAATGGTAGCTATAAAATAAAAAGGTCATTTCTTGTGCTGTCCTCATCTTAATGGTCAGGTCTTTGTGTTCTACTGCTTTGTTTTCTATTATGCAGTAACTGTTACCAAATAAATGTATGCTTAGCTCAAGTGGTTTATCTGCCATTCCAAACTTTTCACGTTTGAAGACTGAAAGGAGCCCTTGTGCTCAGCATGACTTGCTACAGATCATAAACTGTAGAATTTAACCCAGTGGTTCTTGGGTCAAGTCAAATAGCTTATGATTTTGCTCAACTGAAAAAAATGAAGAAAATACCCATTATCAGCTACCTCATCAAATTCAAATGTACCTTGAATCTTTAAAATACACTTTCCCCCCATATTTCATGTTCCAAAATGCGGGGGCAGGAAACAACACAACAGACGGACTGAGAGGACGACACGGAATTAAACTCCGAAGCATGACATGCTAAATATGTTCAATCTAGTAATGCATCTTTCATAGCTGAGTGGAACAACTGATCTAATAATGTGAAAACACCCATTTTTAACACTTTTAGTTTGTCTGTTTTGTTATCTAGCCACAGTATTTTGGTGAATGCTACTGTAATGTCTGTTCTGCCTCTTAACAGTACAGGGTCTCTGGTCTGTCAGCAGTTCTCATTAGTTTTCCTGTTGTGGAAGAGATGTGGTAGGTAGTGGATATCGCTACCATTATTTTAGAAATCTAGACTGTTAAGGAGAGTGATAATTATGGAAAAAGTGGTAGGTCTAAGGAGCGTCACAACAGTTCCCAAGTACAGCATTTGCATTATTAATTGAAGTGCTTAAATTCTTAGGATTAAAAAAAAGTCTCCAAAAAGTGCATAATTCCACAAAAACTACGGAGAAAAACACTTGATGACTTGTCAACCATAGTACTTAAAAATTTACATACATATCTTACTGAACAGGTAAGTTCAAGTTACATTTAACATGCTAACAATGTTTGAATACTATGACAAAATTAGTCCCTGGTAACATGTAGTGACTGTAAAATAGTAACTATGATTCTGAATCAGGGTATCAACATAGGAGGTATTATAATTTACAGGAAAATAAATAAAATTAAATCTATAGAGGTGTCTGGAGTACAACTTTGGCTCACCAGTCACAGCTGGAACATTCCCGAACTCTTTCTGATAAGGAGAAAAAAAGTACCAAAAAAAAAAAAAAAAAAAAGAAAATCCTTAATTCTGAACAGGCTCCTAAATGTTAAAAGGCTTTCCAGCAAATGGTGACACACAAGAAAGACTTTCTAACTTTTAAGGTTTTCAGTTCTGTTGGCTGTTACGATAACAAGGTGGTCTAATTGTTACCATTTAAATGAGAGCAAAACAATTTGTTTGCTAGATAGTGTGATTTTCTGTAGTTCGGCTTCTGAACAGTTCTTCATCCAGTAATGCATTTGTTAGTAAGCATTCTGTACAAGGGATGGGAGAAAAGTACTGAAACAGTCTTCCTTTCTCGCCAAGTTTCTTGCTGCAGTACTTGAAAATGGTAGGGAATTTGAAAGAGGCTGGGGCGTTGTGCTGGAGAGCACATCAGTTAATTATTAGCTTTCTGTCCATTTTTGTTTAAATATTTTTACTTGTATTACTTCTGCAGCATTGGGAAAGATTTGCCCCTGAGGTAAAGAAAAAACAAAATCAAACTCTAACCATGACATGCTGTCCAAGCTATAACAGGCAGGCATAACACTGTGTACTACTTGTTCTCTAGCCCTGTGCCTCCCTGCACATAGTGGTGTAAGGCAATTTGTAGAAGAAATGTCACAAAAGACTAACATCATTCTTTTGTTTCACAGCAAACTGCCAACTAGAAATAGCCTAATTGGCTGGGCATATGGCAGGGGGTCATGTTCTAATGAACGTGTAGCTCAGAAATCTGAAGAGGAGTGGACGTGTATGCGCTGTACCCTAATAAACAAGCCTTCTGCTGAAACTTGTGATGCCTGTTTGACTTCAAGGCCTGAAGGTATTGAAAGGTTGTCTGGAATCTGTACTGGGAAAGGGGGGAGGACTGTAGTTTTGATGCAGTTTTCACAACTATAGAAGTGTAGAAGTGTCTTATTGTGAATCGTATTTATATAACTTTAACTAACTTAAAGTCAGATTTTGTGGAAATCTTGCACGGACAATCATGGAAACTGTCTTGTCTTAAACCCTAAAAGTGTCTTGTCTTCCAGCTTTGTGTGCAGGCGGGATTCTATCCACAAGCCTCTGCAGTGACTCTTTGTTTTTATTGGGGCAAGGAGTGAGGCAAAATGCCATTCTGTCAACTCTCCTTAAAATTATTAAAAGCTTGCAGTATATGTATGATAGAGGGGGCAGAAAAGTAATTATCATTCTTTCATGTGAACAAAAGCAGTATATTTTGGTACCCTTTCCAAAAGGATGTTGGGTTTCTCAGGGGGCTAGGTTTTTTCCTGCAAGTTCAGAGTAAGGATAATTCTGGACTTCTTACCTAAATTTGTTGTTTGTCTCTTACTGGAACTTTTAATGCTGCTATCTAGATCTGGTGGGCAGAAGCAGCTGTGAATGAGACCTAGAGAGGGACAGGAAGATGGAATGAGTAACATGCTAGATTGTCTCCAGATTTCTTTATAGAAATTTAGATATTAAGAAGGGATGAGTGAGGTAATGGACAGACTTTCCACTGAGACCTGTTTTCTATGTGAAGAGGAGCTTTGTATTCTTTTTCACTTTCTGTAGAAAAAGTGAGTAAATTACTCTGTGGAGGCATTTACAGGAAGTTATTTGGATCAAGACTGTTGCTCTGAAACATTTTGAATTGCTAACATGTATTCCAAGAAACAAAGTCTAGAGGTGTGCATGTGTGTAGCTTTTTAGGGATAAAGCTAATTCTATAACAATTCCATATTGAAACTTTTATACCTCAAAAACTAATACCCCACTTACTTCATATTGTGAGTGAATTATTCAATGAAGTGGCTGAAATCTGCACACTACAACTTACTTCTTTATTCTTCTAGCTCCAGTGCTGCAAAACTGAAAGAAAAGATATTTGTAACAATATACAGGCTTTTTGTATTTGAGAAGAATTAATATTTTTATGTAGGCTCCAGGTCCTATTGTTAAAGTTATTTATTTAACTGTATGACTCAAAGTATATATGCTGAAATCGGAATTAAAGATCACATTCCCATAGCTTTTGATGGTACTTTGAGCCGTACTTTCCAAAATGCCCCCAAATTCCCAGCCGTTGAAGAAGTGACTTTATGGTACTGATCTCGGTTCTTATAAAATAAGTTCCAATGCTTTTTTAAACTATTGCTTCATTCTAGTTATTCCTTTTATGAATGGAGTGATGTGTGTGAAACTCTCATCTTACACTAGCTGAAGTCCATTTCTTCAGGCCAGGAATCAATAAAAGTATGTCTTTGTGCCTTACATGATACTTGTTGCCAGCAGAGGCTGATCTTGCATAATTCTCCTGCAAAATCAGTGCAAGAAACCTGAAAGTTTTAGTCTGTCCACAGACTCACATTTACCAACTAACATTTATCCTGGAATTAATACTGTCAGCTGGACCTTAAAATATATAATGGCATGTGCACAAATGCTTTATTTTAAGCTTTGTAATAAAATCCTGTTCCTTCTCCTGTACTTCCAAGTTTCACTTGTTTAGCTATATGCCGTTACTGAAAACAGGCCTGGAATTTGAAGGTGTGTTAGACTTGGTGGAATACTGTTACAAAAATTCTTTTTAAAAAAAATAACACTTATTTTTGCATCATAGGAGTGGTATTTGAGATTTTTTTTAAACATGGTTTTGCTTACCTCTCTGTTTTCAGACTTTAAGATTCCCTTGCCGGCTCACTTTGTTCATTTTTTGTCTTTTATGTTGTTTCTAAAATTAACTACTGTCAGCAGAAACGTTTGAATTTTTGAGGACAGAATACTTGGTATGTAAATTTAGCTGCTGGCCATACAGCTGAAATAATTCAGTCTGTAGACAGAGATAACTATTTACCATTACATCTCAATTTCATTGCTCCTTTGCAAGGCCAAGCTCCTATTCTTTCTTAAACAAATCTGAATGCACTGGAACCAGTATGCTTCACTGTGCAGCAGTGGCAAAATGGAAGGAGCCTAGAAACAAGTATTGTTCAGAGTAAACTGTAGGGAGTCTTATTTTGTTTCTGATTGAGAATGCCTTTGGAGAGAGTGTGCCCTTTTGTATGCCTTATCTACCCATTTTTCTTCTGATTAATTCCCTCTTCCTTGTATGGAGGGAAGATGTAGGAGCGAGACACTTGCTGGAGATGGTAGAAAAGAAAGGACTCTGTTCTTGAACACTATGGCTTCACAGCTGCTTAACAAAGATTGCACATAGGGACCCCATAAAGTTTTTTCACCCTTTCCTCAGGAAAGATTACCTACAGACTCCTTATTTATTAAACTGGCATTAATAAATTATGCCCACTCTTTTGGAATGATTATTGCCCACTAGACAGGCCTCTGATTCTGTGAAGAAACATACTGTTGTTCATGTCAGGAAATAAATATGAAGTAAATGTCTGAACTGCTTGCTTCTGAAGCTTCTTACAGTAAGGGATCGATAAGTTTAGATGCGCACAATGTTTGGAAAGGACAGGAGCCCTGAAAGCTCTAGAAAACCCAACAAATGAATATTCCTTTTTGTGTCAATAGTAAAACAATACTTTAAAAATGGATAATGTATTGCTGCTGGAGGTACCATACCCTGTGATCTCTCAGTGCTGGGCTTGTAGAAGGTTATTTTTGAAAAATTTAAATATTTTAATCCCTGTACTTGGGCCAAATTCAATTTTGTATGGTTAATTCTCCAACAGCTTTCATTTACAGAGTACTATTCACACCTGGTCCTATTCAAGCAATAGTAATGTTATCTTGAAACACATGTTGTACATGACTCCAAAAGTGTATGAGCTTTTTTATTGTAAGAAATTTGATACTGTATCTAATCTGTGGCAGGTTTTGAGATCTTTCAAGATGGTATGGTAAATTTACTCTTTCACTCCCTGTACGACTTATGAATACAGATATGATGTATCACTCTACACAGATGGATTATAACCAATAACTTATTTTTCCTTAGTTCCAAAGACAGAGAATGTTGAAGATTCTGCAGCCTTTAACATAAACTTAATGAAGTACCCTTGTAATGATTTCAGAAAACCAAGCACAGAAATAAAGATCAATAGGAAAGCTGCATTTGGAACTACAACTCTTGTCTTAACAGATCTTGGTAACAAAGCTGTTTTGAGAAATGATACCCAAATATCCAATGGACGCTCTGGATGTATTTCTCCAAAAAGCAATTGTAATCAAATCCGAAACAATGTCTACCAGTCAGGGGGAAGCACGGACAAGGATTGCTCAACACACGTAACTGCTACGGCTTTGTCCTCCTGTCAGCAACCTCTCGCTTTCAAACACATACAGAAGAAACAGAAAACTGATCATGTCCCCTCTGTTCACCAATACAATGTAGCAATCAGGTATGTATTCTAAAATGTAAACAAGTCTTTTTATAATCCCATAAACCAACTTTATCCCTGAAGACTAATGGAATACTGTGCTGTTTGGGTTCAGACACTGTTGTCTTTGGATTTCTGCCAGAGGTAACTTATTCTTGGGTAACTAAAATTACACTCAGATTTCAAAAGCACTGAATGACCTAGGCTGTCACTGGAAAAGTCCTGATTTTGGCATCTGGCTAGTACTGCTGTTAACTAAACAGCTGTTGACAGTTCAGCTATTCCCATGGAATAGGACAGTATGGCACTAATAGGTCAACAAGCACAATTCTACCTAAGGAGTTGTCTGATCTTAGCACTGTAGTTGCTATCTGATTAGAGAGATCTTGAAGCCATTGTGAAAGATGATGAAAAGAAAGTAGCTGAATGAATATATTCTAATTTAAGTTATTTCTCAACTAGCAGTTTTCAACATTCTTCCATGATATGAAGCTCTGTATAGGCACCTTGATGAACATCCCATCACTATTTTCTCTTAACTTTCCTCCCCATCCTATATGCAACTACTTCAACGCTCTACCCATCCTGAATTTTTATTTACACAGCCCTTTTCAGACACATCCATTGCCTAGTTAAGAGAAATGTGAGAACCTATTAGGGCTGTCAAGGAAAAGTTGGGCAGCCATACACAACAGTAATGGGAGTGCAAGGTAGATGTCACTTGCAGTGGTAAATTATGCAGGGTGAATGTGAAATACTAATGATATGCTACAAAATTCTTGGTTGGGTGTCTGTTCTGAAATACATAAATTATTTCATGCATTGTTGAAGCACCAGTTTTGAAACAGGATCTCACTGGCTAGCCAGGTTATGCTGTATGAATATACTTTATCCTTGCTGTCTCAGTAGAGAACTACAGAGAACTGAAGATGTAGGCAGGGTAATTGAGAATACAGAGGAGTGCGAAGAAGAAATGAGACAGTATCAATCATGATAACAGCTAGTTATAGCAAGTCATCAACTTAAACATTTGAAAACCCCCCAAAAACCAACAAAATCAAAACACTTCGTAACAAAAAACAAATTTGCTGGTTTTTTTCTTTTGTTTTAATGAGGTGTTGGAAGAAAACTGCTGATGTCTGCAGGACTGCAATCTTCCAGACATAAAAGAGAACATAAAATTCCTAAGCTGATAATTTAACAAGAATGAATTAATTAATCTTTTCTTTTTTCACTAAAGTTTCATCACTGCTCTTCTGCTCTATAAGTATATTGGACAGATACATTTCAGAGTATTAATTTTTTTCATGTTACCGTTTTTAAATAAAGCTTTGTGTATTGCATTCAAATGATCTCCAACTATCTCAATCAGGAAGAAGGAAAGAAACTATCCCATTCAGAGAACACTGTTCCATCCCCTCAGCTGGATTACTTCTTGTCCAAATACGTTTGGAGCATTACTGTAACTTTTTAGTAAAGAGGGTGGGAGTCTGTTCTGTGAAGCATACAAATACCTTCAACCTGGAGTAAATACTTGGTATTGGTCTTTTTCCCATATTCTTTAGAATATGTTGGAATTCGGGGTACGCAGTATAATAGCGGTGGTAATATTTGCTTTGTTTTGTAGATTGAGTACTTTGAAATAATTTAAAACACGGGCTAATGCTGGGGAAAACTGGTATAATACCTGCAAAAAAAGCACACAGTCTTGTCTATTCACTACTAGCAATCATTCAGCTTTAAAGGCGCAATAGAGAAGTATATTCTCTGGCTGTCATTGTGTGTGACGGTACACTGAGTGAGCTGTTGTAATGGTGGGAGAGGGTTCTTTGGCTGTGGTGTTGGTAATCCCTTAAACATTACGCAGGAGCCATTTTGTAACCTGTCATTACAGCACACCTCAAGCTAATATGACAGATGATATTCATATGTCAAGCCGAATGGGCCATCCTCGCTGCAGTAAACACAGCCGTCTCTGCAGCCTCAGAGTTGTGAGAAAGGACGGAGAAAACAAGGGCAGGCAGTTTTATACCTGTCCTCTACCCAGAGAAACTTGCTGTGACTACTTTCAAGTAGGTATAAGACTTCAGGGCCTGTTTTCTAATAAGCACTTGTTCCTGCAGCCTCCTTGCCCCAGTAATCTGTAATTGTGGACAGATATGATCCATTTAAAGTTCGAAGTAATTTTAAATACTTTTGCACACTGAATTGAAACTAAGAGCATAATAGTAGTTATAAACTTAGTTTTAGTTACTTCTCTTACTACTGAGAAGGCGGTACACAGAAGGCTCGTGCAAATGCTCTTAATCTGCTTCTGTGTGATGTAAAAGAGATGCATAGCAGAAACGTTGGTTTGAAGAGACGTACAAGTCATTTTGTTCAGCCTCTTGCTTGACAAGGACTATGGCAAACTCGAGATCTAGACATCAGCCATGTTTCTGCCTAGCCAAAATCCTGAAAACCTCCAAGGATAAAGATTCTGTAATCTGCCTGGGCGACTGCTCCTGCTGCTGCACTAATACCTCCTAGCCGACCTCCCTAGCTGCACCTGGTGGGTATCGCTCCTTGCTGTGAGTGTATGTGACCGAGAAGAGTTTGACTCAGTCACCTACCACTAGGTCGTTAATAGGTGAACTCAAGAGAGTAATGACTATAATGCCTTAATTTGAAGAAAACTATGTGTTAACAGCAATTAAAGTTACACTAGTTAAAGTGCGTGCAGTTACAATTAATGTTAAAAAAAAATCTAAAATCGGTGATCACAAAAGAGATCAAACTATCTTTACCAGAAGGAGTTTCTTCTAGGGCCTCCGCTGTAGATCTGTTTCTATTGCTAATTTTAAAATAAGGAATTTGTAGCCATCACATATGCTAAAACTGTGCCTAAAACCTGCTTCTTTTGGCAGTGGGCTGACTTGAATTTTCCATTTTGTAACCACGGCAAGCGATGTGTTATGAAGACTGTGTTGAAGATCGGTCCCAATAATGGAAAGAACTTCTTTGTGTGCCCTCTTGGGAAGGAAAAACAGTGTGGCTTTTTCCAATGGGCAGAAAATGGACCACGTATGCAAGTTGTTCCTTGATGTCAGTGTTATAGTTATCTGCTCCTCAGGATGTCTTAAGTGCATACAACTTTCCTAGTCATTTCTGTTTTGTTTTTTTTTTTTTTTGTCATTTTCCCTGTTCACTCATTAATTAGTAAAATAGCTCCACCAATGTAAAGAACTGGAAAGAGTAATTTTACATAGTCCTTTAAAAAATAAACACTGCTTGTATGCTGCATACTATTTTGAAATGAACATCTAGCTTGCAATATATTGCAACATACTGTCATATTTCTAATAAAAAAATTGAACTGTTTTCTTTTTTTCATGTAAATGTCACTGAAGTTTGACAGCACTGCATACTTTCAAGCATATGTGATTTATAGAATGGATAACTTAATCTAAATTAGTATTTTAAATTGGTAAACTTTTTCATAAGTGTAAACATGTATTTAATAAAAGTGAATAAAAAGTCAATATACTTTTTTTAATATTACTTCATGCTTTTTTTCCTAGAGCTTAAAATGAAACAGCAATGGACTGTACACTTTGAATGTTACCAGTTGAAATGTGTGACCTTGCTTAGATTTGGAAAACAAAGACAAAAACTGCCCTAAAATTAATACCATGACTCTGCAGTTTTCTTAATTACATATTTTAAATCCAGGTCTTAGCATTTTATTCTATTGCTACTGAACTTTTTTTCCCCAATCCATGTGTAATGCATAATAAAACTATACCACTTAGGCGGTTAAAACTCAGTTTACTTTTGCTTGTCTTACCACTATTTGGTGAAGCAAGGGGAAAAATAAATAGAATTTGCCAAGCTATCAAATGTGAAGTTAAGCAGAAACAGAATTCTTCAAATCTTTGGAGCATGTACTATAGATAACAAAGAAAATAAAACTAATGAAGGTATGGCCATAGCTTCATAAATTATTGAATGACCATCAGATTTTAAAGAAAGTAATGGGAAGTAGTGTTGCTTCCCACCAAAAACGTGTGAGGTGAAACAGGTTTAAAAGCTTCTTGTAAATGGCCCTTCAGTCTATGTAAATACTTCAGAATTGTGTCATTTCTGAGAGCTAACTGCTTTTTTGCGCCCCCCCACCCCCTTTTTTTTTTAAAGGGGGAAGGACTACTTAATTTTCCTGAGGAAGTTGTGGAACTTCAGTCCAATTTAAATTTTCCATGCCATGGTGCAAGTGAAACCGATTAATTCTTGTCCTAACCAACACAAATTCAGAGGCTTTTTTCTTCCTCTTTTCAGTAGCCTTTGATAACTTTCAAACCTTTTAAAAATTTCCTTATGTAAAGGAAATCTTTTCTAATCAGATTGTAGAAACTATAATCCTTATGCTGCTCAATGGACTCTTTCCATGTAATACATATCTTTCATGAAGCCTGTTAATGTGGGGCACAGAACTCCACCTGAGAACAAAACAAGCTACTTCACATGGTGAAGACTGACTTCTCATTGCCATCTTTTTATATGATGCTTGTTACAATGTCACTGATAGCTTGTGCTTATACATCTAAATCTTTAAAATTGCTATCTAACCAGTTCCTCACTTGTATTTCTACAATTGATTACTGTGATAAAGTCTGATTATTTTTAAATTGTACATGCTTTTGGATGTCTTGCACAGGGATAAATCTTCCGTAGTTCAGCTAAACATGAAAAATCAAAAAGAAATACAACCATTTTTGATCACTTGCCTTTAATAAATATTAAGATCTCACTGAAGCTGGAAGTTAAATGACTTTTTCAAACTTTGACACTTCAAAGATAAGAGTTGGGCTGTCATGTCTTTTTTTATCTTAGCAGCCAGACAAGTATCTGTTTACATATAACACAATCAAGTTCTAAAAGATAAACTGCTTTTATTAGCTACTGCAATCACCTTCCTTTTTCTGTTCTTATATTTCTAGAACGTGTTGTATGTTTTTTAAAAAAAAAGTGCACAAGCAATATGGGAAGTTAACCTGGACTGTGGAGCAGTGATATATAAAGTGCATTTACCCTCTGAGGATGCAAAAGACGAATTCTTTATTGAAATGAGTAGTATGTCCTGCTTAAACTAAAGACTAAACTAAGGAAAAGTGTTTAAAATAAAATATTTTGTCCTGATCATTGGTCCATCTATTTAACAAGTCATTTCTCCCAAAGTTTGCATAATTTAAAAAGCATGAGAAATAACCTACATTTAAAATCTTACTATTACAATAGTAGAAGTTTCATCTTGAATAAAAGTTGTGTTTTATTTTTAAAAAGTGACTTTCTGTATTGCTTCATTTCTGCTACTTTCAGCCTAACTACAGATGTCAGCATGCAGTAACTTGTATTTATCATCTCAAACATAATGTAATAGGCTAGCATAGGCTAGCCAGTTGAAGTAACCAGAGCTGGCTGCAGATAAGTAGCTTGAACAGCTGTACTTCACTATTTACCAGTGAGATTGCAAATTAGAGATTTTGTGAAGTATCTGATTGTGCATGAAGTTGCAATAGAACAGGTTAAGAATTCTAAGCATCTAAGTTCTCTAAAGATGTTTCAGAATGGTTGTATCACTGATTGATGATATCACTGTTTTGGACAAAAAGTTGTTTCAGGAAATGGATATTTAGCTCAAATTCAGGCAAGAGATGTCCTCTAGCAGATAACATGTAAAATGTTTGAGAGGAATTCTGAAATGTAGAAGAAATTTAAGAAGTTTAAACAGGAAATAAGGCAGGAGCCACAGGGCAATGTATGGCTATTAAAGAAGTGCAACTTGACAGTTGTTTATGAAATAAATGTTTATGGAGAAATGTTTATTTCATAAACAAAACTCTAAATTTAGAAATTAGATTACCACCTAACAAATTAAAATATTTTGATATTAGTACCTCTTCCATAAACCTCATGAAAGTAGGGTACACCAATATCAAGGGTAACTTAACTGGTCTTTTACATTTCTAAGGCTATTACGCTATACATTAAATAACAAGATTATAAATTATTTAATTGTAATCTCATGCCTCCCCTATAAATACCACCCATTTAAGCTATAAACTTCAAAAGTTTGTAGAGTGTGTTCCCTTGGGCATCTGTTTTGCAGGGGTGGTATATTTATATCAGTCTAAATTTGCTTATGATGTATCCTGGTTGTATAATATCACAAGGTGAGAAAAGGCAGAAATGGAAATAAAAAAAAGGGCAAGGATACCCTGAGCTCATCACAGTGAACTAGCATGTGGAGGAATCTGACATGTTTACCCTCCAGTGACGTAAGAGACTGAGCAAGAGACAGTGAATTCTAATTCACCAGCTGCCTCTGCATAACTTACTACTTTTGTAAACACTGCTTTTTTAATTTTTTTTTTTATGTGTGTGCCCCCTCCCACCCACCCCCCTTGGAGAGGACAGCACTATGTAACTTGTTTAACAAGCTGTGGCTGACAGCTGGTTATAAAAGGTTTTGATAAAAAAAAGCTGGCAAGAAAACTTATCTTGGAATAGATCCCCCTCTCAACCTTTCAAAAAGAATTCGCACCCAAGGGTGCAAAACAGTAGACAGTTCTTGAAAGGATCTCTTGTATTTGCTCAAGAGAAAAGTCCTGATTTTCAGCTTTTGTCCTAACAGTTTACAAATGTGTTTATTTTTTTCACATTGATTCATCTATTACCATGCAAGTGATGGAACACACTTATTTCAGATTCGTATCTGGCTTACACATTTTAATGGCTTGTGTTTCATACAATCAACTGTGAAGGCTAAAAAGAAAAACAAAGCCTAAGTTAAAAGAGGGAACTGTCCACCCCGAACATTTTCTGTCATTTATATTCCTCATGAACGCCAATGTAAATAGCTTTTAAAAACATACAGCCCTTTTTAACAGGCCTTAGGGTTCTGATGTAGAGTTGTTACTTTAATCTATACCCATATACAGCTAAGAGAAATGGGATATATTGCCAATGTCTACAGGAGGCTATTAGGGCTGACAGGCTCACATAAGCTCCTTCGACCAGATGCATTCTGAACAAGGTGGTGATGACAGTTCTGCAGTAAAAAGGAGTCCTCCAGTAAAGTTGACTTCTAAGTACCCTTACTTACAGTTTTTAGGGAGCTTTTTTAGACATTAACATTACAAAGTGATAGCATGACTCATAACAGAAACCTGTCTTTAACCTTACGCAGAAAACACTTTTTCTGGTTTTATATACCACAAAGCTAACCTCATAAAGCATTCTGAACTCAGCTGAGATGATATGTAAAACAGCTTTTAGAGGATCAAATTAAGGTCACACAAATTGTGAAGTAAAAATTTTAAACCTAGAAAATGCTAAGGCCATACCCAGTTTCTGCTTTATGGTAGCACTTTAGTTACAGTTCAAGTAAGTTTAGGCACAGCATATCTTTCACTTTGAAAGTAACATTTATTTTCCAATTGGTGACATTCAGGTTAGAATCAACAGATTTTATGCCTGGTTTCATGCTTTTATACCCTTATTTAAAGTACTTATATAATCAGCTATTTGTTAAAGACAGACATGCATTTTTCTTAATCTATGCATGCACAACTACCATTTGATGGCAATGTGAATCCAGCAAATAGATTGAGGGCTGAAGCAACAGTCTTATATTAGTAATTCACTGAGGGAGAAGTAAATTTACACCAAAAATATGCACTCAAATTTTGAGATGTTACTATGTCACAGCTGTGACTACAGACCTTTACAATTACACATATACAACTACTTCTGCATCCACCTTCCTGTGTAAAATGGTTCTAGTTCTCACTTGCTTTTCTGGAATGGAAAACATTAATAAGATCGTCTTTGCTTGATGGTGGAAGGGGACTTTCAAAGAAGTGGAAGATGCCATCCTTTCCTTAATATCTGTATGAATGTTCATCATAAGTGGCTAAGTATCTTTCACATAGAATCAAAAGATATTGCAAAGTGTTTCACGGACTTCACAGCAACTGTAGGCCCTCTTTCTCTCTGAACAAAATCTCTAGAAGATTTAAAACTCTTTTCAATATCTTTCTTGTAC